CCCGCTGGTTTCTTATCCGACGTGGAGAACAATATTCAATATCATTTTAAAGAAACCGGCGAATCTTCGAACGCTGGAGAGAGCCACGACCGTCCTCCGCCTGCCAGAGGCGACAACCAGTAGTGGTCATCTGTGAAATGTACGACACCAGAGTTGCGTTTGGCCCGTTTAGGCTCCTGTTGACGCGCAGGCTTGTCTCCGTAGTTTACAACGTACTTTGGAGAGTAGCTAGTGAACACGGTGGTCTCTTGGAGCTTTGGCATCCTCTTCATTCAGAACACGGATTATGTGGCCCGGAGCCCAAGCTTACCGAGTTTCGCCACGGAAAGCGACTAGATCATGAGACAGACAGGAGGCTGCAGAAGGGACAGCGCAGTTGACGACTCATGCATGCTGCATCGGTTTGAGAGGCAAACGATATCGTGCCCGACCAGCACGTGTCTCATGCGCAACTCGCAGAAAGATCAAACATAATACTAAAACACAAGACGTACATGCGGTACGTACAAGGAAGGATTCTACACTATTAGCACACGACGGGCTGGATCACGTCTAGATATCAATAACCTAATGACCTAACAGGGGATGAAGGAGAGGCAGCGCTTTGGAAAAAGCAGCAGGACGAGAAGGAAGAGGGTGGCAAGGCGCGATCTGGGCGTGAGTACAAGTCCATGGAGGGATCGCGGGCAACTGATAGCAAGAGACCGAGGCGAGGCGAGGAGAAGGAAGGCATGTGGAAGAGATGGGAAAATGAGAATGGGGAGGGTAGCTAGGCTCTAACGAAGCGTTGCTAGCCCGAGGATGATGAGGCAAGACTCGACACCCTCACCAACCTGACGCGCCCGTCGGCGCATTGCTGCTGAATGGTAGTGTGCAACCCATAGAGGAAACGACCACGCTGCAACAAGACGCATTCAATCACTGGGCTGCATGAGCAGGCAACAAACACTCACACCAGTCATGACTCTCGGTACTCAGTCCACCGAACTCGCATCGCTCCAAGGTCATATCTTTGATGTGCATGAATTACCGCACAGGCGTAGGACGTTCGAGAGGTACACACCTGACTGACACTCGCTGCCTCGCCTGACACCGTGGTGAACTCACCGATATTTGATATAGCCGTGCCAAGTGCCCGTGCCACTGCCGCTACCGGATCCGGAGGGTCTTCGGCAATGTCGGAGGGATCTGAAACTGAAGGAGTCGTCACAGCCGCAGGTGTGGACGTGGATGTGGCCACGGGAGTAGACTGCGGGAAGTCGCTACCAATTTATAAGCCAGCATGTTACACACTTGATCACACGCACCGACACCGAGCGGCTAGGTTTGACGAACAAACATCCTGCCTGGTGACACCCACGGTCAAGAAGTACCTGTAGAGGGGCATTAGTACTCAGTTCTCGTGTGCAGTGTGTAAGTGGGTATGGGTACGTACGATAGCGTCACGGAGATCGGCCGGTAGAGGTGCGGCATATGCAAGCGGGAGAGCTGAGGTTCAAAGCGTGTCTGTCAGAAAGCGGAAAAAACGAACGACGTGTGGGTGATTACGGAAGTGCAGCTCTTGAAACACATGTCTATACGTCGCCCTAGGGCAATAGCAGGCAGTACGGGCGCCCCGAGAAGGATCCCATCTTGCGCAATAGCAACTCGAAGGTGGCGAAGAGCAAGTACCGGTAAAAATACTCACCTCCCACGAGAAACGCCGAGATCGCGAAGGTAGGTGTAAGAATAAAAGTGACCATGTCGTCCAGTAACCGAAGGAGACAGAGAGGCGAACGAAGAATGGCAAGGCTCACTGTGTGGCACAGGACAGTATGGCAAGGTGATGGGACCTGGCCTCCGGACTCCCACACCTGCCTTGTGTTCGCTTATACTGTGGCCCTGGCCGAGGTAGGTGTAGGGCGGTCTGCTGGAGCTCAAACGTTTGGTTCAGAAAGGAAACCTCCGAGAAGACTCTATGGCTACTACTTAGAGATAGAGCACCTTAGGCTTTCCGATGGTAACGCGGGCGCTGTTTCCCAGAGCTGTACGGAGGGCAGGGAGGGATACGCGAGATGTATCGGTCGGGTGAGATTCATATGGCTCTGGAGGGTGGGATGCATGATGATCAGCTCTAGACTTCATGCCCTCCTTGCTAGTACGTACGCGCGCTCTCATTATAGTCGCCTAATTTGGACAGCAGTAGACCCAATCTAGCGCCCGAATCTGGAGGCAAACGCCGATGCAGGCTGGGCGTGAGGCCGCCCTTGTTCCGAACTACGACAACCGTTCACCTCCCTTGGGCCTACTACTGTCCCCATTAGGCAACTACCATGGAGCTGATCGTTCAGCTTGGATCGACGTCTGCTCAGCTCTCGCTCGCTCGCTC